CGACCATCTGCATCGTTAAACGACCTTATATATAGTACCCCACTAGCAGACGGAGTTCAGTCCAGTCCTCTTGTCATTCAGTTCACATTCTTTTGAGTGACACCCTACACCTGTTACTTATACTTTATTTTATTTCTGTGTTGTTCCTGTCGCCACCAATGTGGTATATCTATGTGAGTACCTATTCATGTCTCTTATGTGTCCATCAGTGCTTGCTTAGTTACATTTAAGTAATTCAGTGTTGTTTCACTATAGTTAATTTCAGTGTTAATTTTTTTATATGTTTATACAGTGTTAACGTAATCCAGTGTTTTATTTTTATTCTATATTTTTAAAGCAGCTCTTTTGATGTTTCGATGTTTTAGTATCATTTGTGTCTTAAAAGTCTCGATAGTGAATCAATTTGTTGTGACAGCCTACGACGCTCTTTATTGTGAAAGTATTTAATTTAATTAAATTCTTAGAGGTTTACTTTATTTATTTTTATCACCTTTTGATTTACTTCCCTTTTTCTTGTTTGGTTACACCTAGAACCTGGATATTAAAGTAAATTAAGAGACTGCATAACAAAGGGGAAAAGAACAGCTCATTTTGCTGTCTGTTTTGCAGGTAGGCTCTAAATTCCTTATGGTGATCAGGGATACTCTCTGCAAGATTTTTGCCAACACTAATAAAATATTAATTGAAGTAGTTGGCAATGGGGAGGGTTCCTTTACAACTGAATCATTTATCGTAAAAGCTGAGTGAAGGGCCGAAGACTGAGTGTTCCTGTTCTGAATATAATTTATGATATTCCAGGTTTTCTTACTGTGTTATATATGTGTATGTTCATATGCTGCCGTTATTGATATATATATATATATATATATATATATATATATATATATATATATATATATATATATATATATATATATATATATATACTGTATATACATTTCATATTATGTTACTTCTTACCAAAGTTAGAATGTGTTTAGGCCCAGGGCCGGATTCAAGAGTGGGCAAAGTGGGCAGCTGCCGAGGGGCCTCCACAATCTGGGGGCCTCTACATATTACAATATTTTATTTATTTGTTTATTTATTTGGATTATTTTTATTTTTATTCTTTAAAATTCATGTTTATCTATTCCATTACGTAAAACTATATTCACCAAGAAGCGTGATAGAAATTAGGCTAGCTACTCCTTGAAATTTATGATTACATGGTTTTCCTATGAACCGAATATTTTTAGTGAATGCTATTGTTTGTGTTGCTAATAATATATTTAGAATTCAACAAACATATGTTGATTAAAAATGAACTACATGGAATAACGAAATTGAGATTAAAAATAAACAAATAAAATATTTTTTTCATTATCACTTCCATTACGAATGCCATCAGGGCGCTCAATGTTCTAATTTCCTCAATATAACTGCATATGGCTTCAAAATTCTCGCCACCCCACCCTCTTGGGTAGTTATAATGAGGGGGCCTCCACAATGAGGCTGCCCATGGGCCTCCACAGGTCTAAATCCAGCACTGTTTAGGCCTGTGTAATCACGAATGTGTTAGGCACTTGGTGTAACAGCACCATTTGTATTATATAAATATTTACCCAAATGTATAATACCAAAATATTCAGCAGATAATTCATTCACCGATGTGTATGAATAATTGGTGAGTTGAAATTTCCTCTGGGGAGCGAGCTAGGTCAAGCTGGGTTAGCGCAGCTCAGCAACAAACATCTTACGAATTTCCTTTTGAGGCCTGCTTGACCACCCTCTCTCCGTGGTGTGAGAGATAGACTCTCATATCAATAGTTACCCAATGAACACCTCACTTAAGTGCTCTTCGATACAAGTGCACTAAGACACTTCCCTGAGCAGAGAAGGTACAATATACTCTCAACAGAACTCAGTACCCGTGAAACTATATTTTTCTTCAATAAAGCAAAACCAACAAAGTGTTTACTTCAGCCCTGCCACTTATTAGTTCAAGAACTAATATATATATATATATATATATATATATATATATACAGCTAGACCCCGACTTACATACGTGGACTTACGACCGTGGGACTTCGACGCCCAGAATTTTTTATTAAAAAATTTTTATTTTATTTTTCAAATGACACGCATTTTCTATACCGAAACGTTTCCAGTTAATGTAGTCTCCATGTATAATTAGAAAATTATGGGGGCTATGTGCATTCAGCTGACTATATTAAAGTTAAGTGCTCAGTCACATCCATTCCTTATTATTTATTACTTTCACTGTACTGTATCCATTCCTCATTATTCATTACTTTTACTGTACTGTATTTCATTGGAGATTTTATTAAAAAAAAAATTATCTATGACCTGGATTTGGTCCCAACACCGTAAGTCGAGGTCTAGCTATATATATATATATATATATATATATATATATATATATATATATATATATATTGTGTGACCAACACAGTGGTACGATAACAACAACAATAAACCACCTGAGTGAGAGTCAGCATGTGGCTTCTCATTCTTCCATTAAATTTTCCAGTTTACTAAGAACAGAATACACTGGAGTACTGGACAATGTTTTTAAATCACTAATGACAGAACCTACTAGAGGTGACAATATATTAGACCTGGTATTAACAAATAAAGAAAATATTATCAGAGATATCACAGTAGGGGAAGAACTTGGTAACAGTGATCACAGAGAAATCAGGTTCACCCTAAATTGGGAAACGAAAAACAATGACAATATGGTCAGAGTCCCAAACTTTCGATTGGCGGATTATCAGGGGTTAAGAAGGTACCTAGGTGAGGTCACCTGGGAACAGTCAGGTCAGTCCCTGGGAGTAACAGGTGAGATCACATGTGTACAATTGATTATGACTATAATTTATCCACTCGTATACTACGTAAAGCACAAGAACAAAATATACCATGCAGAAAAATTAGGTCAAATAAGAATGAGCCAAGGTGGATGACCAGAAAACTTAAACATGACATAAGAATAAAGAAAGGAATTTTTAATAAATTAAAGGGAGGGGACGAGCAGCTCAGAAATAGGTATAATGAACTATCAAAGAATGTTAAGAAAATGTAAGAAAAGCAAAGAGAGACTATGAGATCAGAATAGCAAGAGAATCCAAGGCGAATCCCAAGGAATTTTTCCAGGTATATAGAACAAAGGTCAAGGACAAAGTTGGGCCTTTAAAGTCAGGGAGGGGGGGAAGTGATCAATAAGCAAAGCATTGAACAGCTACTTTGTATAAGTTTTCACATAAGAAATTCGCGAGGAAATTCCAGAGGTGGAACTGATATTTAGGGGAAAGGAAGAAGAGAAATGAAAGAATATCACTATCAGAAAAGAGGATGTTCTTAAGAGGATAAATAAATTAAAGAAGACAAAATCCCCAGGACCGGATGAAATTTTACCTCGAGTCTTGAAAGAATGTAGGGAACAGATTAGCGGACCCCTCGTAAATTTATTTACAAAATTATTAGAGAAAGCAAATTAATCTACGACTCTCAACATGGGTTAACAAAGGGAACATCTTGTCTAAGAAATCTGCTGACGTTTTTTTAGGAAAGTCTTCGAGGTAGTAGATAATGACGAAAATTACGATGTTATTTACTTAGACTTTAGCAAAGCATTTGACAGAGTACCGCATCAGAGGCTTCTGAGAAAAGTTAAAGCTCATGGTATCGAGGGGAAGTTTTAAATTGGATAAAATCATGGCTCACCGATAGAACGCTGAGGGTCAGCGTAGATGGTGTTAAATTTGAGTGGGGCTGTGTAACCAGTGGGGTTCCCCAGGGGTCAGTACTAGGCCCACTTTTGTTCATAATCTACATAAGCGATCTAGATACTGGGATCAGCAGTGACATAAGCAAGTTTGCGGATGACACCAAAATAGGGCGGCAGATTAATTCAGGGCAGGGTGCAAATGCACTACAGGAGGATTTAAATAAACTGCAGGAGTGGTCAGAAAAATGGCAAATGAAATTCAACACCAGCAAGTGCAGTGTACTTAATATTGGAAGAACAGATACATTATTGTATGCAGCCTTAACAACATCAACTTAGAGAAGTCGACTTGTGAAAGAGACTTAGGGGTACTTGTAAGTCCAGAAACGGCCTAGAGAACAGTGCGTTAATGTTCGAAATAAGGCAAACAGAGTATTAGGTTTTATATCTAGAAGTGCAGAGGTCTTATTGCAACTATATCTTGTGCTAGTCAGGCCGCATCTCGATTATGCGGTTCAGTTCTGGTGCCCTTATTATAGAATGGATATCAATTCACTGTAATCGGTGCAGCAGAGAAGACGAAAATTATTCCGGGACTTAGAAACCTTCCATATCAAGATAGGTTAAAGAAACTAAACTTGCATTCCCTAGAAAGACGAAGAGTGCGGGGAGATATGATTGAAGTATTTAAGTGAGTGAAAGGAATCAATAAAGGGGATGTAGATAAAGTTCTTATAATATCCGAGCAGGATAGGACTCTTAGCAACGGATTTAAGTTGGATAAGTTTTGGTTTAGGAGGGAGATAGGAAGGAACTGGTTCACAAATAGGGGGTTGGACGAATGGAACAAGCTTAGCAACTTTATAGTAAGTGCCGGAACGCTGGAAAGATTTAAAAGGAGGCTAGATAGATAGATTCATGGATGATAGAGAGTGGTAGTAACTCTCGACAGGAGCTGCCATGCACAGGCCAACCAGCCTATTGCAGACTCCTTATTTTCTTATGTTCTTATATATTTTAAATACACACATACACACAACATAGACTTTGTGTTTTCTTCCGCAGCAACACTATGAGTCAATAACCGTTACGGTCGTTGACTCAATTACCAGTATAATAGAATTGCAGCGCCAGTGAAATATGCTTCCGCTTAACATACACAAAGTTTATTTACCCTTCACCTTTTGCTGCACACCTGTATTATTTTCTTTTTCTATTGAATATGCGCATGTGCCATTCGTTCACGTCTGTCCTTAAAAGGTAGCGTGACGGAGTAGAGACACAGTCGGCTTCAAACCTACGATGATGACGGTAAAATTGAGAACGCTGGTAATACTTCTGCTGGTGGCAGTTTTCTCCACATCAGTTCAGGTTAGTGAGTGAAGTCTTTAGTAGTAAAACACCAGCAACACAACATTTCTCTGGTGTATATCAGTATAACAAGTCAAAACTCGCATAGAAGATATAGGTAGAATATTTATATTTGTAGGATTGTAAAGTGAGGAAGTTTGGAAGCGTGGCCGGTTAGTTATTTAACTGTATATTATATTCGTAGGGGAATCTTTAAACACCACTCCAATTACAGCTATTTATTATTCACTCAATGGCATGAACACGTTAATATATTAACGTTACTCGACAATGCCTCTCAGACACAATCATGAACTGGATACACTCACCACCGACCTTGGTGTGTATGTTGACAATGAGCTGAAGTTCTCGGGCCATTGCGAGAAGAAGGTAAATTAGGCAAATTAATTATTGGGTCTTATAAGAAGGTCGTTCAGATATCTAGACGGTCCGTCCCTTGTAACAATATTCAAGAGTGAAGTGTTTCTCCATCTGGAGAACTGTCACCCCGTCTGGTCCCCGAGATATGCTAGGGACTGTGAGTTGGATGAAAATGTCCAAAGGAGGGCCACCAGACTGGTGCGTGCACTTCTGCACCTCAACTACCCTGAGAGATTGGAGCGCCTGAATTTGCCTGGCTTATACTACAGACGGGAAAGGGGCGACCTCATTGAGGTGTATAAACATCTCAAGGGGCACTACTCAGTCGAGTGTCCTTACTTGGAGCTGGCGGACGCTCGCCCCACAAGGGGTCACAGCTCAAGCTTGAAGAAGCTGCAAGTCCAGAAAACTGTGAGGGCAAATTTTTTTCGGAGTGAGAGTTGTGAACTCTTGTAACAATCTACCAGAAAATGTTGTGACGGCACCGAGTGTGAGCTCTTTCAAGACCAGACTTGACCAACACTGGAGCAGGTTCAGGTACATTCAGGAGCCGGTGCATGCCCAGTACTTGCTAAGAGTGCGTAACAGAGACGTGACCGATCGCCCAAGCGTCTAACGAGCCGATCATTTGGTGAAGAGGATAAAAGAAAAAGAAAAGTAACAGTGACATGACCGATCGCCCAAGCGGCTAAAGAGACGATCAGTGGTGAAGAGGATGAAAGTAATAGTAAAAGTAAGTAACTCACCCTATGGATCGCTCTGACAACTGACTCACGTGTGACCTGTGGAAGACTCTGCTAGCTGAAGACTCCGTGCCGGGAGTGGAAGTCTTCCTCCCGATCTCGACTAGTAACGAGCGTGACTCCGTCTTCTGTCGATAGAGATGTGAAAGTAATGCCTCGTGGAAGGAGATGCAGGACCCTTATATTGAAGCAGAGCCGGCAGATGACCTCTCCTAATCAACACTAAACTGGGTTAGATCTGGACAGCTGTGTTTGCCCAGGTGCGTGGTCATGTCGCCGGTCGGTAATGCTTCCTATATATTACCACCAGGGTGTGTCTTGGCTAGGTGTGTTCTTTTAACATGGTCTTAACGCCGGGATAACTCAGATACCTAGTGGCCGTGCCCTCTCCTGGGTCAGGTCTTAATCTCACTGTAGGGTATGTCAACTTACGCGGGTGTACACCTGCTCATCTACTTTCTGTTATATGTGTTATCTTTCTGTGGGATGTAAGCTATGGTCTTATAAACAATCATTATATCAGGTCTACGGTCCTAAGTATGGATCACATACATGATTTAGATAAATTCTACATAAGTTCATTACCATCATCAATAAGTTATCGAGGTACTGTTCAATATCTTCAGAATACTCCGTCGTGTCTTTTCCTCACTATAGAAGACATCTGAAAATGTGATATTAGATATCCAACTGGTTGTTTAGATTTTATATTCTGTAGGTGTTCATCTGATTATATCTTTAGTGCATGTCGAGCTGTGTGTCTAATAATAAACTAATATTTAACAGAAGTTGGTTAAATTAGCATGTATGAAAGATATCAAAGCAAGAATAAGGAAAGCAAAAGCAGCATTTAATAATCTAATAGACCCAAGGAACAGGAACATAAACTTCAATTTGATAAAAAGACTGCTGAAAGACTATATATGTGTGAGATGCGTGGACACTTTCAGCAGACATCAGAGAAAGGTTGGAGGTCTTCGAAATGTGGTGCTATAGGCGAATGCTATGAATAAGATACACTGACAGGAGAACAAATGAAGTACAAAGATTAGGAAAATCTACAAGAAAAATACTTGAAATGTAAACAAAATAAAAATAAAGTACTTTGGTCATATAAGTAGGGATGAGGAAATAATATATGAAATATTAATGGGCAATGTTGATGGTAGGAGGGCCAGGGGAAAGCAGAAAGTGGGATGGAGGAATGGAATTAAAAACTAGGTACAAACTAGATACAAAACCTGAGAGGAATAATAAATACAGCACAAGAACGTTTAGAGTAGAGGACTGCGGTCGCCAACCCTCAGATATGAGGACGGTACTCTGACTGAATATTGAATAAGTTTGGGTTGTGTTAGTGTTCCTAGGCTTACGGCGCCTCGCTGATCTTCACTCAATGTTTAACTTAAAAGAAGGCGTTGATACCCACATTGATAAACATATTCCTAAGACACGAATGCTTGCCTTTTAAAATTTTTTGAGAATATCAGGTTAAGCCTTTTGCACTCTAATCCCTATTTGCTGTTATAACTTTTTCTGGTTAGGTATGTGTACAGTAGACTTAGACCCTAGTACTAGAGAGTAGCACCCAAGCACCAGTTCATATCTGGGAAGAATAAATGAACCAAGTTTCTTCTTTTCACTTTCAGAAGATTTAAGGTCTTGTATAATATATAAATAGAGAGAAGCATTTTTTATTTATTTTTTCGCTATTGCCAAACATGGTTTTCTCTCATAATTTATTTATTAATTCCCAAGCTGATAGCCATAAAGTTTGACAAACAGTACTTTAGAAATTCATAATTTCTGAACTATATCTCAACAGCAACTACACACTGGTTTCCTTAATATATGACGTAATCTATGTCTGGAATAATGACAATGACTGTATAGCAGAGTTGTAAAAAGTATCGGACGTTGTTAATTTTTTTTATGGGGATTAGCTCACCCGGGCACAGGTCACTGGCCCACATCGGGGCCTAGGGGGCGAAAATGTAACAATAATAATAATAATAATAATAATAATAATAATAATAATAATAATAATAATAATAATAATAATAATAATAATAATAATAATACGGATCTATAAAGAAATACAAAAATGAAAACAAAAATCAAAAGTGAAAAACAATATATGTATGTTGTGTTGTCAATAGGACGAGAAACAATTGAGACCCTGCAATTGTGTGTAAATCAGGCAGAAAGTCAGGTCAACAACCTGGGACTTGGTCACAATTTTCGTGATGCTATATGGCAGCAGGGTCTACCATTAGTCAAAACATTATGCTTCCAATATTTTCCCAGGCGGTAGTACATCCTTGTTTGGTAGGTGCCTACTACCTACTATCAGTAAAGTAAAAGTATTGTTACATTTGCAAAATGTTATTCAAATAGAATTAAAAGTATACGAATTTCAGTGTAATCAAGTAGAAGTAAAACGTATCTAATTTATAAAGTACTGAGGTACTGAAAATAAAAGTAAGAAAAAAAATAATAATTGTCTCAAACAATTAACAAATCCACAGTAAATTATAAAAAAAAAATAGTAATCTCAAGATAAAAATAAATGACATATAGCATTACACACGTTTATTTGCAAATCTTTCTTTTTAGATCAACCAATAACTGATTCTCGAAATTATGGCTGTCCAATCAGGATCCTTTAGGCCTAAATATAAGCCGCTCGTCTCCCTACAATGCATAACAAGGACATTGAACGGGTTGAAAATATATCCATCCAACACTTTGGTCACTTTCTTCCTTTCCCACACAAGTATCGTCGATGTGGATTTATGATCCGCAGACATAATTTTGACCCGCACTTCTCTACCTGTAAACTTTGTAACTGTCCCATAGTTAACACCCTTCAACACTATTGCCTTGACTGTCCCATTGTCAGGGACCTCCTACCACAGGGAGAGTAACTAACCACTATATGTCACCACCTACTTATTCGAAATAATTTAGATTTACTTCTTGTACGCTTCTCATGATTTAGTGCGTGCTAACTCCCATTGTCCTTAAATCATATCAATATTGTCTCTATATCACAAGTTATATCGTGTCCTGCGAGATACGAGCACCTATGGAATAGTGTCTGACTGCATGGTCTTGTGAATAGGCTTGTCTTCCCCTGAGGTGTAATAAATAAATTACATAATAGATACTAAGCCCAGCATGACTAAACAGATGCTCATAAGCAGCAGATGCAGGTAGTGGGGTGTTAAGCTTGAGAGATAAGTCACATAATGTCGGGAAAAACTTCAATAGTTCCATTTGATCCCTTGGGCAGCCAAGTAGCTATCAAGTTCCTTCAGTTAAGGAGTTTGTGGATGAATGTTGCTTTCATAGTGACTGAGTATGATTAAGACTCACCGTGAGCTGTACCTCTAATTGGGGTGTGACTGTGGTGACGTCACTTTTCGATTTTAATTGATGAGTGGCTGAATTGTTCGCACCGTGTAACATCTGGCGGGTACTGGGAGGGCGGCAGTGGTACTTGGTTATTTAAGCAGAATTCTAATTAATTAAATCTCACACATATGTATAGATACAGACTTTATATCTAAGACATAATTATGTAAAACATTTTAGAATCACATCCTCTTTGAAATTCATTTTAGGTTGAGGTATATACAAACAGCAACTGATATCAAATGGGAAGACAAGCCCCTGAAAGAGTGGGGATACGATGCGGGAAGGGGAATAAGAGGGTTGGCTAGGGGAAGTGGGTGGTCAAGGTGCTAATGAACACAAAAAAGATCAAAGGGAAAGTCCGCTGTTATGGTCACTGCGACCTGACCTGAGGTTACCTCATCCTTGTATGAAGATAAAAATCGTGAGGGAGTCACGAGAGAGCCCCGATGGGTGAGGGTAATTTTTTTACATTTTCAAAGCGATAGATATCAAACACACGTTTTTTTATTTCGTGATGATTATATAATATGACGACGAGTTGTGTAGTCTGCATACAGGGTGATTCAGCAAAGAGTATATTAAATTTGAAGATGAAATCCTTGGATAATTCTAAACCACAATGTCTCTATAGTAAAATGTCAGTGTCTGCAAATGTCCACGTGTTCGTGACAGGTGCGAGTAAATTAAACATAGTCCTGGAATTCTGGAACGCATCAGACATTCAGTGGTACGACGTGTACAGGCCTGCATTGAGGCAGAAGGGGGCAACTTTGAACATTTACTTTAGGTTGTTACAAAGCGGGGTCACACTGTAGACATTTGTGAATAAATGATTACAAAAACCAACTTGAAATTCTCTCTCATTAATACAACATCTTAAATGTGTTGTAACATGGAACTATGACATTTTACCACAGAGACATTCATGGTTTAGAATTATCCAAGGTGTCATGGTTTTTCATCGTAGTGGTCTAAGTGTGGATTATATAATATAAAGATTATAATATATTGTTTCTTATATTTCTTACCGTAGAGTTCGATACCTTCACACTGGTTACTTATAGGAGATTATGGTTTATCTACGTAGAAATTCACTCCACCACCCGACATTCCATGATTTATACTTGATAAATGATGATTTAATGAGTTCCATTAATTTCCAACATCCATCGAAGTTATTGGCTATACTTTGTCATAACCAATCAGTCATTACCTTTAGTAATTATAAGATAGGATCACAGATACGGGCAGATAATTGCACTTGCATTTATTTGGCAAGCTTCCATACAATGATTTACAATTTGCATGGATATATGAGTCACTCACGTTCACGCTGTAATAAAATTAATCTTTTAAAAGAGGGAATTTTCAACTTGGGGACACATGTGATTACCCTACAATGGGTATGACTTAACAGAGCCTTAATTATTCAAGTGATACATTTACCGCCGGCTTGGATTGCTCTTGTTGCAACCAGGCTTCCGCACAAGAAATTCTTTCCACGGGAAATAACAACAAAAAGGTACTCTTAGGTTACCACACATAGTCTCGCGTCACTGACAGTCACCGTAGACGGTTGTCGTGGCAAGGAGAACTGGTAAGCGTGACTTGATTAACCACTTAGGTGCAATAGGAAAGCCTGGATTGCTTTTGTCGTAACCAGGCTTTCACACGTGATATTTCCACGGGGATAACAAACCTAGATTAACACACTTAATCTCGTGTCGATCACGGTCACTGTAGACGGGTGTCGTGCAGGAGAACTCTGTAAGTGAGTATTGATTAGCCATTTACTGTAGGTTTGATAGGCCAGCCTGGATTGCTCTTGTCGCAACCAGGCATCCACATGTGATATTTCCATGGGGATAACAACCGAGGTTAGTACACATAGTCTCGTGTCACTGATGGTCCACAGGTCAGGTGGCGGTGCAGGACTCTGTGTGGTGTCCAGTTCCCTTCAGGAGGGAGAGGTTGAGGACGACGTCTTAACTAACCCATGGCCTAGGGGATACTACTTAAAATGTGGTTTTGGGGCGTGAGGCGATGAACAGTACAACACTGTCTCACTGGCCTCCCCCTATAGGCTTGCTAACATACCACTAATGGAAAATATATGTCGCAGTCATGGCTCGCCGGGTGACTTATCTCGAGTAAAACAAACTTTGGAGTTGGTTGTGTGGGTAAGCCTAACGCAACCCATGACAAAAGCCCCTACTAAGAAAAAATTTTCTTCGGAGAATAAAAATTTCAGCACACACAATTCGACATTCACAATGTGGTGTGTGTGTGACACTACCACTGCAACAAGATGTAGTCGCCAAACGCCACTGAGGGAAAACGTCAACATTTACTTTAGATTTTCAGGCTGGAGGAAGACTCCAAGGCGAGGGTGACAATTCCCGGGCTATAGTTCATGCTAAGCATAAGCACGCTACATTTATGTTACAGCAACATGTGTAGTGTAGGGTATGTAGACATTGTTTAGGTGGTACAGGTGTCGTGTTATGAACCTTCCCCGGTGGGTGAAGAGAAGGACTCCTTCGGCCGGCTGATGTGGAACTGGGTACCTCTGTCGCTGAGGACCCCCAAGGTGAGGGTGTACTCTGCCCATCACTCACCCTTGGGTCTACTATCCACCGCCTCACACGGAAGTCCACCAAGATATGGATGTAAATCTGCCCATCATTCACCCTTGGGTTTACTGTCCACTGCCTCGTAGTGAATCGGGAGGCTGAGGTGGAACTGGGTCCCTCCGTTGATGAGGACCCCCAAAGGAGTGGAGGTACTCTTCCCGTCACTCACCCTTGGATGTACAGTCCACCGCCTCGTACTGGGTTTACTGACCGCAATGTCCGCCACCACCCTCTCAAGGGTTCGGGGATCACTGTGAGAGGCCACAGGGGTGCAGGTAGAACTCGCCCTCCGTCGCTGTTTCTGGCAAACATCACAAGTCCTCTTCTGTTTCTTTATTTTCCACATTTAACTTTAGACCCAAAATTTCTTAGAGTCCCCTCAAATGTACTAGTACTCATTTCGTAGTACAATATACGCGTTTGTCATGGATTTCATTTTCCAATTTTATGTACTCTTTGCTGAATCACCTTCATGATTTTTTTTTCATATAAATCTGAGCTGGAAAAATGTTCCAGGATTTGTTCACTATTCGTAGATAATTCAGCTTATTGAGAAATTTCTCACAAAAGCCATTTGCAATCATTACAAGACAATGCAAATTCTGGATCTTCCAATCCAAGACCATTTGACAAAGAATTAGTCTTCAAGCACAGTGCGGCAGCTTACTATGAAAGAGTGATAGAAGGCATTAATCTTTTCAACACACTAATTTCATGTATAGGTTATAGGAATAATATCCGATTTGTCCATTGGTAACGTATTCTTCATTTACCTCTTACATCCACTCTTTTGTATATATTCCTAAAATTAATTTGGGTAAGTCATTACTTGATCATAAGTCGCGTACACACCACCCAACCCAGAGCAAAATATTAACCCATTGTAAAGTTAAAACGCGGAGATATGAGGAAAAGGAAGTACTGTAACAGTGTGCATAATTTGGCTACAATAACTTAGCTCTCTTTTATGGTAGAAAACTATGAGAATGATAACTTTATCTTTCTATGCAAGTGATAAGTGAGGTGTTAATATGTTTTGATGCAGGGTGGTGACAATGAGTGTGAAGATGCTGGTGGGAATTGTGTGAGCAAAGAGGAATGTGAAGTTAAACCATCTGCAGCAGACTGCCAGGAGGAAGATGAAGTCTGCTGCATTACTCCTTCAAGAAATAGTAAGTGCTAATGTAATAATAATAATAATAATAATAACAATAATAATAATAATAATAATAATAATAATAATAATAATAATAATAATAATAATAATAATAATAATAATAATAATATTAATAATAATTATAATAATAATAATAATAATAAACCAGTAAAATAATCGTGCAGTTTACAGTTGGGTTGGCATGTTTGTAGACGACAGGCATACAGTTAGCATGTGTGTACAGTACAAACAATGCCAGCATGCGGTATATATATGCCGTAAATTGTGGAAGTACACAATTTCTAATGTACTTAGATAGTGGAGATAAACGGAGAGGCAAATTGACCAAGGCCATCCGACAAAGGCACCAGAAGTTTATTTTTATGAGAATGGCAGTGAAAACCTGCGACTGTAAAATTTGGTAAAGTTGGTAGAATAAACTGTAACTAGATTGTTGGGTGTTCAGTAGGAACTGGTCGTCGGCAACTATAACAGTTTCAACTTATATCTAGGTCAGTTTTTTTACCACAATGTCTTCGTGTATCTGGAGGACAAAAAAGCGACGAATCTATATCTTAGTCAATGTTTTGTCTGATTTAATTAATTAGAATTGGTATAGTTTGTACTCACTGTTTTGTAGTTGTCATTGCAAGTCATGAAGCTCTCATTGTTCAATATCTTCACATCCTCTTCGTGCCTTCTGGCTAAACATTTCGTGAAAACACTGCTGTTACTTTGTTATGTACTGCCACCCGACCTGCATTTTATAAATCATTACGAACCATGAAGATCGTGCTGGTTCGACTATCACCTTTCAATAGATACATTTTTGAGTGTGGATATGGACGATGAGGTGAAGTTATGCTAATCAGGGGGGCTCCAGAGATGGCATGGCTAGAGGGCCATAAAGTAGCGTCTGCCAAATTTCAGCATTAGTTCATATAAATCGGAAAACAGTAACAACCGTAGTCGCTCTTTACAAAATTAAAATGGCAAAAGTGAACACTGTGAAATGCAATTGTTAAAAACAAAACAAAACCGCGGGCTGGGTAGTTCATCCTAGTTCTTCTTTGAAATGTCCTCTACTAATAAGTAGAGTGGTTGAAGTGGTTGTCTAGTGGTGAATTTTGGATGGTAAGAAGAAATTCCCACCCAATGGGTATTTACAGATTTAATAAACATAACCTCTCATTTAGATAAAAATAAAATAGAAATGCAAATAGATAAACTATATAATATGTTATTTCCCCAGAGATAGAAAAAACGAAGCTCCACATGCAAAAGTCTCAGAGGGAAAAGCAACAGCAGAGGAAGAGGAACAATAAGAAAATGGAGCCGAAAGAGAAGAAAGAGAAAAATGAAGTGAAATTGAGAGATGGCAAATATGGTAAAAAGCCGAAAAAGAAGTCTTGCAATGAAGTCGGAGGAGTATGCTCCTCAAAGTGCTCTAACGGCAAGGTTAGAGGCGGCAAATGCTCAGCCAGAGAAAAATGCTGTAAGTATATTTTATACAAAGTTAAGTATACAGCAGACATGTTAAAAAAAGACTTTTACCACTTCCTGGATTGTTCGAACTTTCATTTTCTATAACACGCCAGTGTAGTAATGTCAGGGTTAAATTATTTTGCCACTTGACATTTGTGTATTGCCTTCAACTAGGAAGGCCAACTACCTGAGCTAAGAGCACCTGCCTCCAATACCGAAGAAAGCCAGCATTTTATCACAAGTTGGTTATTTTGTTTGTGTGTGTGTGTGTGTGTGTGTGTGTGTGTGTGTGTGTGTGTGTGTGTGTGTGTGTGTGTGTGTGTGTGTGTGTTTGTGTGTGTGTGTGTGTGTGTGTGTGTGTGTGCTTTAGCACACGTGGTGGTGAAATGCGTTTAGTGTGGCAGAACTACGTTAGTTTTAAGATGCAAGCACTGCTTGCTCCCTCTCGCTTTCAGCTAGCGCTGCTGGCTAGCCCTAGTGGCGAAAAGGGAAGCAACTTGCACAAGTTTTCCCCTGCCAGTACACTGCCTCTTCACCATCAAGACACCTGCTGTGCCTCCTCGTGGCAACACACGTTACTGGGTGCCTCGTGGGTCCAGAATAGATCAGCAGGGGATCTCAGAGTAGCAGTGGGCCCCAGTGGGATAGCGCAAAGGCCCACTGGCATGTGGATACGTTCTGGTGCCTACCAACCATTGCCCCGTTACCTTGATGATTAACCTTGGTAGGTATAAGGCTACGGGAGTAAACTCTGAACGAAAAATTTGCGGTGGAGCCCTACATCAGGCAGACATGCTTACAGAGCTCCAACAAGCCCCCAACGGTGGTATAGGCGGAAGAGGTGACCAACTTGGAAACCCAACGTCTACACTGGCGACGAAGGCAATGCCTGATGGACAGCTTACTAAGGCGAAACCCAACAAACTGAGCTATCGGCAGTCCATTGCAACTCTCCCTCTCCCCAGTCGTTGCAACACTTGCACCAATGGATCAGGAAATGGGAGAGCCAAGATGGGTGGTTGCAGCCTGCGCTCCTGTCTCACCACATAAATCAGCTCACGTGCAACCAGCATCCAGTTTATCATACCTCTCATCATCATCAAAACCCCTATACCCCAAAAAGTCCTCTGGCAACGAACGAGTGGCGATAGGGACAGGCAGAGATGACTGCCGGGACTCTCTAGTCATAACTCTGCACATGGGCGGCACAGATAAGATGGTCGCTTATGCACTGGGATCTAGTCAGCAGTGCAATCCGGTCATGTCTGTGCGACTGAGCAGTCCTTTCGAGGAGCAACTCTGCTCACCCCACATGGGGAGGGGGCTAGAAAAGGTGCCCTAAACATAGCCTGCCTAAAAAGCCAACCTGGCTGGGCAACCGCACCCAGTAAGGTCATCCCTATGCAGTCGAAAACAAGTCAAAATTACAGAACCAAAACAAAATATACCTTACAACCTCTTATGGTCGCTGCATGGAATGTCAGGACCTTTCTGAATACTGGCACAAATGAGCGTACTGAAAAAAGAACTGCCCTTGTGGCAAAAGGGGTGGCTAGGTATAACATCGACATAGCAGCCATCAATGAGACCAGGGTCCCAGATGAGGGCCAGCTCACAGAACGGGGGTCTGGCTATACCTTCTTCTGCAAGGGTAAGCCTGCTGCAGAGAGAATCACCATTTATGGAGTTGGCTTTGTCATCCGCCAACGCATCCCACACAGGCTAACTGAAATGCCTATTGGGATCAACGAGTGGCTCATGACGCTTTGAGTCCCACTGAATCACTCACGTCGTGCCTTTTTCATCAGTGCATATGCCCCAACACTGGATGCAGAGGATGACATCAAGGAGGCATTTTATGCCTACCCTGACAGAGTGCTAACCTCTATCCCCAGAGAAGACAAGGTTGTGCTCCTTGGCGACTTCAATGCCAGAGTTGGCAGAGATGCTAGCATTTGGCAGGGAACCATAGGGAGAAATGGACTTGGCAAGTGTAATGCCAACGGCCTACTCCTCCTCAGCAAGTTTACTGTGCACAGCCTCACTATCACCAATACCTTGTTTCGGCAAGGCGACAAGTTCAAGGGTTCGTGGGAACACCCACGATCCAAACACTGGCATCTCATTGACTACAATATTGTCAGAGAAAGAGATCGCCGCGATGTCCTCATCACCCGTGCCATGTGTGGCTCAGACCACTGTGACACTGATCATCGACTTGTCAGAGCCAAGCTCTCACTTCACGTCACCCCAAACGGCGAAGGCAGCAAGCCTCTAGAAGAGGTTTTAATACTAAGCGTTTGCAGGACCCAGCAGTAACACATGCTTTCAGAGAGCAACTCGAACATGGGCTTATAAATAATGCAACAGCAAACAAAGCTTATCCCAGTACCGAATGGGATACTCTCAACACTGTTAGGACAAAAACCTGCAGAGACCCTCGGCCAGATCAAAAGAATACACCAGGACTGGTTTAATGAAAATGACCCGGCACTCAAAGTACTCATCGATGATAAACGTGCTGCTTTTACTGAGTGGCAGAACATCCCTCAGTCTCGGACAAAGCTGATACCTTCCGCAAGAAGAAAGCGGCAGTCCTGCGGGAACTTCGCATTGTAAAGGATGACTGGCTTAAAAATAAAGCATGCGAATTACAAAAAAAAAAAAAAAATCCAGATCAGGACAGGATGCACGATTTTTTCAATTCATTAAAATATTTTATGGGCCAACAACTCGTGGCGCAGCCCCCCCCCTCCGCTCATTAAAGACGATGAAGGCCTCGGCCTTCAGCGCTGGAAAGAGCACTACCATTCATTGCTCAACCGAAACACCGATGTAGATGTTCTGACTACCCAACAGGTCCCTCATCATCCAGAGCTGACCTACCTCAGCTATCCTCCATCCCTAGATGAGGTAGTTAACGCCATCAAACAGATGAAAAATAACAGTCGCTCAGGGACTGATGGAATCCCAACCGATGTGTATAAAGCAGGAGGACCTCTGCTTACCAGCCGTCTCCACTCCCTCATAGAGAATATATGGAAAAAGGAAGAAATCCTCCAAGCTCTTAAAGATGCTTCCATTGTCAATTGGAACTACCGTGGGATCTCGCTGCTCTCCGTAGCTGGCAAGATTATCGCCCAAGTCCTCCAAAACAGACTCCTTCCTGAGGCGGAAGACTTCCTCCCAGAATCTCAATGTGGTTTTAGACCATTACTTGGCACCACTGACATGATCTTTGCTGCCCGCCAGAAACAGGAAAGGTGCAGAGAACAGCGTCGTGACCTGTACATGGCTTTCATCGACCTAACCATGGCCTTCGACTCGGTTAACAGGGAAGCCCTCTGGCGGATCCTCAGCCGATTTGGCTGCCTACCAAAATTCATCGCCATTGTGAGACAACTCCACGATGGCATGACCGGCAGTGTCCTGCACAACGGTACCCAGTCTGAGTTCTTTCCCATCCTAACAGGGGTTAAACAAGGGTGTGGCACCAACTCTCTTTTCCATTTTCTTGGCTGCCTTCCTTACTCGTGCCAGTGCCAATTTAACCGGCGGGGTGGACAACTAGTACCGGGTGAAGGGGGGACTTTTCAACATAAGACGACTCCAGGCAAGAACAAATGTGTCGGCAGCTTCCATTACTGAACTTCAGCATGCAGACGACCTCATCCTTGTTGCTCACACTAAACGCGACCTACAGGAGACCCTGAACACCTACGCAGATGTATATGCACACTTCGGCTCCTGGTTCAGACACACCTCCACCATCTATCCAGCTTAACGGCACTACTCTCTCTAATGTTATCCACTTTCGGTGTCTCGGCTCCAACCGCGGATATCGATGAAGAGATTCAGCATCGGAACAGATGTGCGTCTCAAGCCTTTGGCAGACTCCGAAATCGTGACTTCAACTAAAATTTTCTACAAAGTTAGAAGTATATCGAGCAGTGGTCCTCTTCACCCTGCTATTTGGTAGTGAGACATGGGTCACATACAGGAGGCACCTCAAGGCACTCGAAAATTTCACCAATGTTGTCTACGTTCCATGCTCCGAGTTCGCTGGGAAGACAAGAGAGCAAATGACAGTATTCTTGCTGACACCAACTATCGGAGCATCGAGGCTACCATTATTCATGAACAACTATGCTGGACTGGCCATGCTACCCGCATGGACGACAGTAGACTGCCAAAACAGCTACTTTACAGTGACCTAACGAAAAGAAAACGCACCGCTGGAGGGCAACTGAAAAGGTATAAGGATAGTCTTATGACAAACCTGAAAAAGTGCCAAATCGACTCCCTAACCTGGGAGACGATTACTCCACACCGCAACGATTGGAGGAGCACCACATAAGAAGGTGTCAATACTTTCCAGTTAGCCCGACTGCAAAACGAATTAGACAAGCGACCCATGACGGGAAGACGCTTGACACCGCACCTCCCGCACTAGGTGTAGCCGCCTAAATGTGCAACATCTGTGAACCATCCTGCCGGTCCCGTATCGGCCTCTTTAGTCTCCTCAGAACTCACCACCATCGGTGACATCCTTAATAACTCATACCAGTATATCAAAGCTAGATGATCGTCATACTCGAGTCCGAATGACAGCAAGGTAGTAGTATGTATGTATGTATGTATATATATATATATGTATGTATGTATGTATATATGTATGTATGTATGTATGTATGTATGTATGTATGTATGTATGTATGTATGTATGTGTGAATTGAATATTAATTTTGCCGTGGACACCAGCTCGTTTCTTGTGTACTCAATACTTATCCTGTGAATGGTAGCGCAAAAAGGATTAGAGAGTAGAGGCCACAAAGGGTGTTTATCAGACCCATTAGTCAAGATATTATGGCATTGAGTGTTACAATTCCCAGTATATTGTTTGTTTAAATAGGTACATAAAACTTTTATAAGGTGCTAAATGCGAAGTGTGGATACAGCCTACGTATAACAGGTATCTTTCCATCACAGATAAAGTGCTGTGCCATCGTATAACTGTCCCTATAAGGTTCTTTTTTCCTATTTTTCATTCTATGATGTAGTGTTGGAGTGTGTGGCCTTGTGTATGGCCGCACACTTTACATTTAGGATTGTTCACATCTGCTTGAGGGACATACTGCGAATTTAGCTAAGGCAACAACTCTATCGTGCTGACTGACGCGTATGTGAGAGGGGATCCACAGTAGCTTGACTCTAATACGCCCGTCAACAAGCGGGTGTCATTTTGAGTTTAGGGTATCAAGAGGATAAGGAGGATAAAGAGTCAATGATGATGAGACTGCCAGTGGTAGTGTCTTCAGCAAGTTTCTGGGCTGTGACTATGGCAAATGGTTCAGTTTTTTGAGTGAATACCCAATTATTAATTCTAACTCCGTTCTCTAATATATTACCGTTAGGCTGAGTCACAATAACAGCACTCCCAGGACTTCCACAGACAGTGTTAAAAGAACCGTCAGTGCAGATGGTCTGTGTGATGTTATTTTCTGTTTGTAGGTTATGTACACTGTATGTGTTCAGGAGCTCTCACTTTGGCAGTATGTTGGAAATTGTCCGCCAGGCTGGCAGGAAACGCTGCTGTGTATGGACCTTGTGCAGATTGTTTTGTCAAAACATTCTCATATGTGTAGCAGTAGTTTGGATCCATTTATATTCATCATTTTCATGACTCACATATCCTAGCATTTTCCTAGAAGCAATGTTGTCTGGGCTATCATAAGCTTGGTTTTCATTGCTGTATTCTGTTTTTGACACAGGGTATTCCTAGTTCTTTCCTCATATTGAGTACTGTGGTGCCTCTCCCGTCACGAAGGACCAGGGCTAGTGTGAGGTAATCTATCAGAGATCTTATATATCCTAGGTACATTGTTTTGACAATTCTGATATTAGCGCCATAATGTGGGTTGTACCCCGCTACACATTTGAGGGGTTTTAACCTCTCAGTACATTGGCGGGTTAGCTGTTGTACAAGATGTCAGGTGAGGTATTGTACAGGAGATAGAGACATCGAGATATTTAAAAGAGGGGACAGAGTCATTGGCGCTGTTACCTATTTTAAGTTGCGATAGTCCGCGTTTGTGGTTACCAGCTTGTTTGTTGAATACTTTAGTTTTCTCAGTGTATATGATGAGATCAAGGTTCTCACAGGCTGACTGTACGTACATGGTTCACAGTGGTTTGCATTTCACGATGATTTTTAGTATATATAAGAATGTCATTTGCATAGGTGACACGAAATATTGTTGGGGCTGTCTGGGATTGACTTTAATAATGCATTCATAAGAGCATTGAACAAAGCAGGGATGAGTACTCCACCTTGGGGGGTGCCAAGCTTCATATCTTTGACGTCACTTTTGTAACCCTGAAACAGTGCAGCTGCCCTTCTGTTTGTGAGGTAACCACTTATCCAGTGTTACAACGGACCTCCGATATTCATTTTTCTAGTTCGCACAATATAAGTTGCTTATTGGCAATATCAAAAGCAGCTTTTAAGTCAAGAAATCTGGTGCATATGTGTCTTTGATCCCCATGCACTGTTAGGTGTGTGGTGATGTAATTATGTACGCTTTTACCATGGGTGAAGCCTTTTATGTCTGTTTCCGAGAACCAGACTCTCTATAGTTGTACAAAGACAGCTAGTTAGTAATATGGGATGAAAGTCATCAGGGTGTCCCAGCTTTGGTATTGGTCCAGGATGTGGGTAGTTGGCTTTCGGTATGACTCATATTGTACAATGCCATTAATGGATTGTGCCAGCACACGCCTTAGTAGTCTAACAATATGTAGGTGACTCGGTCCTCACAAGGGGCAGTGGATCTACCCTTAAGGAGGGCAGCGTCAAGCTCCCCACCCTATACAGTATATGGAACATCACATTAATCGTGGTGTTTGCTTAGCATAAAGATGATGAGATTACTTTTTTCTACAGACTAGGCATCAAGGTGCTCTCGAGTCCTAGTTGGTAACATGTTATAGCTAGATTCATGAACCCACTTTATTATTAGTTCATTTGATTTTTGTAGCGAGTTTGGATGGGATTCGTGATTACTGTGTTTACCTCTGATTGTCTTTCTATGTTTATAAGCTTTGCTAAGGGGTGTGTGATGGTTCAGGCTGTTGACATATATTTCCCATGCATTTTGTCCATGTTCATTTGCGCGCTCCCGGACTGCAGTGAGGGAAGCTTGAAACAGTTTTAGCATTTGAGGAGTTTTGAGTTATTTGCAGTCCTCACCAGTCTGCCTGGCTATAGAATTTGCACTAAGTTCTTTCAATCTTGGGTCATCATAACACTGCTGTGGCCTGTTCCTATTATGCTGAACACGTTTCCTCCTCCTTTTGGTGCAAGCATTGTTGGTGAAGAGGTTTTGGTAGTTGTCAGGCTTATAATCCTTGAAACAGTCATAAATCAATTCTCTAAACTGTTTATTTTTTTATTTTTTCTTGACTGTGAGTCTACGTGTGTTAAGTTTTCCATCAATGGGGGGTGGCATTGGCAACATATTTACTGGGTTGGATTGGTTTGTGATCAGACATAAGATCAGTGGCGACATCGAAGCTCTAAGTTGTGTATGAAAGATTAAAGCCAATACACTTCTCTAAAGCCCCGCCATAGATGTGTTATGGCTCGCTAATATGAATGATTTAGAAAATCATGAAGAATTTGGTATTTGAGTATAGCTGTTAAAATATGCAAAGTGGTTTTGATTGGTCGTGTGAAAAAATAAACTACCTAGTTTATGAGGAAATGAAAGTATTTAGGAAACAAACAGTTCACGTACATCAAAATTTTCTACTCTGGCAGATTGTTGAGAATATTTTGGAATAATTTGTGTGAAGAATGTAGGACGTGAAAGTTAAAAATGATCATAAGTTAAATCATATTTTCAAACATTAAGCAACCTATGTGACTAAAGAGGAATAAAAGAGATAGAGGAATTTAGATTTTAGTGTTTTACGTGTAATAAGGTAGTAGTGGAAAAGCATACTCTAAGAATGCATATGATATAATCATAAGGAATAATAATAATTGTTAATGAGCTACAAATGTGTATCAAATCTGTGTGAAGAGGTTTTTATCCCACCGTTTTATATTTTCAGAAATGATGATACGACATATACGAATTGGCAATAAAAAAAACACAGATATAGAGTATGGGAGGTTTAATGAAGGACAGGAAAGGTGACTGAATTGACTATCGCACAGTAAAATAATGAAGGGATAGGGGTAGACTACATAGGCGAGGGGGAGTAGAATGAGTTATGAAGGTGTTGTGATATGTTTAGGGGAGTATTACAGGAACATGATAAGACCTCATAGGTGTACACAGAGGAGAGATATTGCCTAAATATATAGCACAAAGAATATAGAAGGAGGCTTCAGAAATTAATTAGTGTGATATAGTGTGATATATAAAGCCTCCTATGTGTCCCTCCCTAGCTGTAACTTTCAGTGGCAAGCTGACGAGGGGACATTACTTAAGGAAATGAAGTTTTTCTGTATATTATTATTAAAAATGCGATATCAATTTTAATACCTGTTCTATTATTTAAAGATCTGCTGAGGACTGGAAAGTCACACTAATGGCAGACGAAATATTATTTCCAAACAATCGTTCTTCTCAGCCAGTCCTTATAGTAACTCCACTGAGTAGGGCGACAGTTGATGCCGAAACTGTATATGGATCTGTTCAGTTCTTGTTTATTTGATAGTAACTTTCTTGTGATTTACTTGCAGGCAAGCCTAGTGGTGGTGGTGGTGACGGTGGCGGTGGTGGTGGTGATAACGTAGGTCCAGCAGGTCCACCTGGTTCTCCAGGTGAAAATGGTCAGCCAGGTAAACCTGGTCCTGCAGGCCAACCTGGTCAAGACGGAACTCCTGGCCTTCCCGGTTCTCCTGGTCCTACTGGTAATCGTGGCCCTGCCGGTTTACCTGGCCCAGATGGTGCTCCTGGTGTTGCAGGACCTGCAGGTCCTGTAGGTCCTGGAGGTCCTCCAGGTCCTACAGGTCCCGCTGGTTCCCCAGGTTTTAAAGGTGTTCCTGGAGATAAAGGCCCTACAGGCGGGGTAGGTGGTAAAGGTGCTGTAGGTGATAAAGGTATGCCAGGTGATACAGGTCCTGCAGGTCCGGTAGGTCCTACAGGCCCTGCAGGTCCTAAAGGTACTGCAGGTCCTGCAGGTCCTGCAGGTTCTAAAGGTATGCCGGGTGAAACAGGACCTGTAGGTCCTGCAGGTGCTAAAGGTATGACAGGTAATACTGGTCCTACAGGTCCCACGGGTCCTGCAGGTGATGAAGGCCCCGCTGGTGCTGCAGGTCCTACAGGTGATAAAGGTTTAAAAGGAGATAAAGGTTCTGCAGGTGATGTAGGCCCTGCAGGTCCTAATGGTACTGCAGGTCCTGCAGGTCCTGCAGGTGATAAAGGTATGGCAGGTAATACAGGTCCTACAGGCCCTACAGGCCCTAAAGGTTCTGTTGGTGATAAAGGCATGACGGGAGATAAAGGCATGAAAGGAGATAATGGTGGTAAAGGCATGCAAGGGGATAAAGGTGATAAAGGTGGTGTAGGTGATAAAGGTGTGAAAGGTGATAAAGGTGGCGTAGGTGATAAAGGTGGTGTAGGTGAGAAAGGTGGTGTAGGTGATAAAGGTGGTAAAGGTGATAAAGGTGATAAAGGCATGAAGGGAGATAAAGGAATGAAAGGTGATAAAGGTGTTAATGGTGATAAAGGTGATAAAGGTGATAAAGGTGATAAAGGGGGTCAAGGTGACAAAGGTGATAAAGGTGAAAAGGGTGATAAGGGTGATAAGGGTGATAAAGGCAACCCAGGCCAAGGCAACGGCAACGGCCAGGGCAACGGTAACGGCCAGGGCAACGGTAACGGCCAGGGCAATGGCAACGGCAACGGTAACGGCCAGGGCAACGGCAACGGACAGGGCAACGGTAACGGCCAGGGCAACGGTAACGGCCAGGGCAACGGCAATGGCCAGGGCAACGGCAACGGCCAGGGCAACGGTAACGGCCAGGGCAATGGCAACGGCAACGGTAACGGCCAGGGCAACGGCAACGGACAGGGCAACGGTAACGGCCAGGGCAACGGTAACGGCCAGAGCAACGGCAATGGCCAGGGCAACGGCAACGGCCAGGGCAACGGTAACGGCCAGGGCAATGGTAACGGCAACGGTAACGGCCAGGGCAACGGCAACGGCCAGGGCAACGGTAACGGCCAGGGCAATGGCCAGCAACAGAGCTAGCAGTACGGTACTAAAGGTAGAAAAGGCAGTGATGGTGTATATGATTCTGTTAAATAGGGAATTATCAGATACCAAGTATGAGGTGAAGATCTGGTGGCCAAGGAGAAGACTGAAGTGCTGCTGTGGAAGACTTAGGCTGCAACAACCACGATCACATCTTTTCACACGACAGAGGACTCTGCAATATTCCTTCTTTATCCTGTCAAGAGGCTCATAACCTGTTAAAGTCCCTGCACCTGTTGAAGCCTTACCACAACCTGCCATTGTTTAGACAATCCCGCACACTACTGAATCTTATCCTTATGCTGAAACATAAACACTTTCTGATGCAGTAATGAACGATGAACTACAACTCCTCCAAGAGTAAGATAATAACTCAAGTAAATGACACCTGCTCAAACAGTACTACCGCGTGTTGACTAATAAAGATAAACGCCTGTTATTTGTTGATACTATAACTTCCTTCCGTTGCATTACTTTATGTACCGGTATTTATTGGTGTATGTATAGTTGTTAGACTTTTGGTGTATCAGCTCTGTGTAACTGGTGATGTATTAGATGGTGTTCCAGGTGTTGTATTGTTGAATTTATACCCTCTTGTTTTTGCTGGACCGCAATAGGTATATTAGCTAAGCTATTAGAGAGAATAACAAAATATTTACTACATTTCTACCTATTAATAAAAATTATTATTACACCTCGTGTTAATATAAATGCACTGCAATTACATATTTAGTTTTCCTTACAACCTTGTAAAGAATCATTTATATTATAACACTTATAACAGTGTTGTCTTGTTTGCTATAACATGTGAACCGTTTAGGGTAGCAGCCACTGAGGCTCTTGACTGACCAGATCAGTTCTTATATTGCAATGAGGGTCATGAGTATAGTACTCAAGTTTAGACAACCTATGACTGCTGCAACAATAATAATATTATTGGACGATTACTGATGCTATCACCTTCTCTTTCCCATCCCACCAAAAATCACTCTATAACTCTTGGATGAAATCTCGTGAAAATTGATAAATTATAAATATCATCAATAACAATCAAGATTCTTTAGATCCCAGGTGTGCCAGGCATTTTTATTTTATTTTCGTGAAAAAACTCTGTTTGGATGAGTGCCCGCATTAGTTATATCGATGTAACAAATTTACATGTGAATTAGCGAAGGACAACCCTCTACTCTTCCTTGATGTTCATACCCATTGTCACCAAAAGAGCTTTACGACAGCTTCATACAAAAAAAAAATAAAACTTTCTTTCACTGGTTTGACTACAAAATGTTTAACCTTTATCTACAGTAAATTGATTTCAAACGAAATCTAATTCGTATCTTCACCCACAGACATATTGGTTTATGTTCCAGCTATTTTCAACTTGACATCAAACTTAAACATATCAGGAATTCACTCTTTGATAATAGTTTGGTCAAGTAATATATTGATATTTAATGTAGCAAAACTCTCAACAGAATCCTCGGCTATAAACAGTATCCAACAGTCACTTTGTTTAAAATATATCATCTCCCTGTAGGAAAAAGCTTATTAAAATCTGAAGGTTCCAAGTGTTCCCTGAAGAATGCAGTGATGGGTAGGGAAACACCAGGTAACACTGAAGTCCATTTATTTGGATAGGAGAAATACAAGTGGTGACTAGCGTGTGCCATGCACGGCCCACGAGGTCAGACTGAGACTGCCTTGCCATATGGCAGCCTCGGGGCAATGATGCCACATAACACGTGCAGTGTTGCCACGTAATTATATACATAGATGCTACTCGGCACAGTAGCTTATATACAAGGTTGCTACTCGGCACAGTAGCTTAGATACATAACCTACATCTCCCTCCCCCTCACGCTCATAGTCTTTGTCTTGAGCGGACTTCCCAGTCCTAAGTCTCTCCGAGCGTCGAGATGCACTGTGGGGCGGATCCTCGTGAGGTGTAGGGGACTCGTCCTCGGTCAGGGGGCCAGCAGCAGGGGGTGGGACTGGCCGGAGGAAGCGGCGGTTCCTCCACCAGATGCGGCCGCTCGGCATCCCGACTTTGTAGTCCCGCGACCGGCCGACGCCCATCACTATGCCCACCTTGTCCCAACGTGTCGTCGTCGGGTCCTGGACGCGGACAAGGGCACCAATCTCCAGTGGCTGAAGAGGGCGGGCACGGTCGTCATACCGAGCCTTGGCGTTCTAGGCACGTGAAGCGGCGCAGCGGTAGCAGCTCTCAGCTCTGGTCTGCCACTCCTTCGCAAAGGCCTTGGCGTGTGCAGGAATGCAATAGCGGAGAGGGTGACCATAGAGGATCTGGGCAGGGGAGCGTCCTGTGTGGGTGAGAGTGGACGCGGGTTCTGGGCAGCTCTGTGCCGCAGCGTCAGGCGCGCCGCTCGTTGATTCACGCACCCTGCTGGCGGTGTACCGAGCAGCTGGGATCTGCTCAGGAAAGTCTCTGGGCACCACGCCTAGCTCCTTGCAGTGCTCCCACGACAACAAGGGTGTAGCGAGAGTAGGCTGCACGTCGATCCATCCGTGACACGACCTGTCGCCATAAGTGATCTCCGCTTGAAAGGAGCCCACAGCGTCCGGAATCTGGGAACCGTCCGCAATCCGCATTGTAGTACTGCAGTTGCGGCGGTGGTCCCACGCCGCGTTTGGTGAGGCCCAGTTTCTGGAGGTGCTTCAGGCCTATCACCGTAGTATCAGCACCGGTGTTCGGTATCACCTCGATGTGACCTGACACATCACCGTGTGTGACGGCGACGCGGATGGTAGGGAAAGGGGTAGCCCTGGGGCGTGTGGTCGAGTCCACCCTCCTGATGTGACTCCGCTGCTGCTTGGGGCTGCGTGGGCCATCTGAAGGGGGCTGTGTGCGAACCACCCCGAGAGAAGTGCGCTGCTTTCCTCCTCGTCTCGGGCTTTTGGGCTTGGGTTGGCCAGCACTTGTCGTAGTGTCCAAAGCGACCACAGGCCTGACACTTGCGGCCTCGTGCAGGGCACCTGTCTGTGTTAGACCAGTGGCCCTTACGGTCACATCCACGACACAGTGCGTCGGCGGCCGGGCATGTCTTGGAGCCATGCTGCTTTCCACAGCTGCCACAGGAAACACTAGGCGGAGGCGTGGAAGAACGTGCGGCAGCCGTCACGTTGTTGGCCGCCTTCTTACCCTTCTTGTATTGTGAGATAGCTCTCACAGCAGGTGGGGCCCTTAAGGCAGAGGTGGCGGACTTGGTGGCCTCGTATGACCGACATTCAGTCACTACCACCTGGAGTGTGGAGGAAGCGTCCAGGGGAATGAGTCGCTGCACCAACTCTTCTTGCCTGACACCTGTCAAGATCCCGTGCTTGATCCAGGCTTCCTCACATTCCCGGCTGTGCGCCTTGCAGACGTCGATCTCCTCCGACAAACTCTTCAAGCGTACAAAAAAGTCGTCAAAGGATTCGTTCTCCGCCTGCTTGCAGCTGGTGAAGGCGCGGCGACGCAAGGCCTCGTTATTCCGACCTTTAACGTGCTCCTGCAAAAGGTCGAGCACATCCGTCACTGAAGATGTAGAATCGGGAGGCACTTGCAACGTGTGCTCCAAAACTCTTTGGGTCTCCAGCGACAAACACATCCGCAGTTGGATGAGCTGTTTGTTTGGAGGCATGCTGTCAAGGTCCACCATCGTGGAGTAATCTGTCTAACGCCGCCTCCACTCACGAAAAAGCTGAAACGTGACGTCTGGTGAAAGGGCGGGTGGGGGTTGAACAGATGCCTTGGAGTAGCAAGAGTATCTGGAGGACGCTGGTGTGGTGGAGGAAGGGGGGTACTGGCGCCTTGGTGCGCGAGTGAGGGAGGGTGGGTTAGCGCCAGGGTCGCCAATATTGCATCAAAGCGCGCCTTTTCCTCCTCTCTTCGTGTCTCCTCCCTCTGAAGTTCCATCTCTCGGCGTTGCTCGTCTCTGTGATCCATCCACCTCAGAATTGTTGCAATGTCCGTCGCTGTAGGTGAAGGATGAGGGGCGGTGGGCGCAGAAGCTCCATCTGTACCCAGTAGAGGAGAAGATGGTGGGGAGTTGTGTCTCCCATCTTGACGTTGTCCCTTCTTACCGCCCATCTTACTATGCATGAACTGCACTGTTTAGTATATAAAGTGGCGCCTCATCAGCTCGAACCACATATATATGACATAAACAGCGCAGAAATAATGCATAGAGTCCACTGTTCTGTCCGTGAGTGAGTGCGTGCGTGCGTGCGTGTGTGTGTGTGTCTGGGAGAGCAGTTCGTGGTGGCCTTAATGCCGGTGGCTAGAGCCGCCGCGGGGGTGAGAACGTTAGTGCCTCCCCGGATGTCACACGAGAAGAGTGTACATCTGCGTGCTCCGTGGGTACCACAAAAAACAGGCCAATACTCAACTCTCAGCTCTAGACACACTGATACACTGACACTAACACTGCCACCGTCACTAGAACGCACTGTGACGGCGCAACACTGCACGTTGCGGCGAAACACGACGCAACACAACACAGCACACACTAAGAGTCACGTGCACATCGCCGGCAGTCGCACATCGCCGGCTAACTGTCCATTGTTCACACTCTTGTAAGTCCACAGATCCTATTCACTGCGCCATGAAGGTTCCAAGTGTTCCCTGAAGAATGCAGTGATGGGTAGGGAAACACCGGGTAACACTGAAGTCCATTTATTCGGATAGGAGAAATACAAGTGGTGACTAGCGTGTGCCATGCATGGCCCACGAAGTCAGACTGAGACTGCCTTGCCATATGGCAGCCTCTGGGCAATGATGCCACATAACACGTGCAGTGTTGCCACGTAATTATATACATAGATGCTACTCGGCACAGTAGCTTAGATACATAACCTACAAAATCATTTCACTGAAAATGATATTCAGCTCCCAAATGCCCACACACTTACAATCATTTGTATTTATCAGCTTACGTGGTTTGCTGTAGTCCAGCAAATATTTGTTTAAAAAATAAAGACACTTTAAAACGCATTCACGATCACTTTGGTCACGCTGTTCACACAGGCCAATCAATCACCCAGCCTCCGCTCTTCACTATCCGAAAGAATTCATACAGTAAATTCAGAAAGCTATTAGGGTAAACTTTTTTTTTTTTGAGTTAGGGTTGTAAACTCTTGAAATAACCTACCAGGGAGCTTTGTGACGGCACCGAGAGAGAGGTCATTCAGAACCAGACTTTATCAACACTGGAGCAGGTACAGAGACATTCTGGAGCCAGTACATACAGTACTCAGTACTTGCCAAATATGCGTAACAGAGACGGAGCCAACCAGGTCCTGTTCACGAGTTGTCTGGTCTTCTCGGACTATATCTTGACACTGGGTCATTCAGCTAGTTAACTTGTGGGGTACGAGATATTGGTTCACAATCAGGATGGGATGGAGAAAGGAAACTCACAATGTGCTCTCTGTATACATATTATATTGGATGTACAATGCAGCTTTGTGGCTGGTGCTGGGAGGAGGCAGCGTGGTTACAAACGTGAGTAGGGAGAGCTGGTTGGTGAGGGTGCTCAGAGGAGGTGTTGCTTGCTGCGGCTGTAGCTAGAAAAAGGGCTAGGTCACCATGAGGTCAGGTCTTATATAGCGGAGGTAGGCGTGGCTTAATAGTTGACCTCCGTCATGTAAGGCGGTGCTGGTTGACCTAGACCACGAGGCATACATTGGGGAATTCGCGGGGTCGGCTACTCAGCGACAAGAGTT